AAGCTAACAATTCTACCACACGAGACAGGCGCGACCAGTCTGCAGATGGGGCGTTAGGTGTTGCAAACGAGGGGTCTACATCAACCATAGTCTGACAGGAAGGAACAGGTGGTGACAGTCCACGGCGGTGGTGATCCTGCACCAGCCTGGTAGCTCTTTTTGCCATTCCCTGCTTGTAAAGCAATTTAGCAACATTCAACTTAGCACGAGAGGACGGGGAAGAGTTGTCAGAGCCATGGTGTTTGAGGACGTCTGTGTTTACAGGACCATCGCCACAGAGATTGTACTCCTGCGGATTCAAAAATGAAGTGGAATGTAATGATACAAAACTTTTACAATAATTGTCAGGCAATTGACCGCTTGAGGCATTCCAGTAGTCCCAGGTGTACACAGCCTGAGAGGACTCGAAGTCTAGTGACTTCCGCAACTCAAATATTATGTCCTCGTCGATGTGTGAATTGTGAGACACCAATGTAGAGACTGGTATCATTCTTGCTGCGAATGAAGCCAGCTTCTAGTAGAACTGAGTTCAAAAGTTTATTCCATAACATAGGTGCCTGCTTAAGGCCATACAGGGATCTGAGCAATCGGATTCCCAGTTTGGAGTCTGGAAACTTGTCCTGTATGCTTTCCAGCAAGTCAGACCTAATGTCTACACCTTTAGGAAAGGAGATGAAAATTGGTCTATCAAGTTTGGTTTGGATAAAAGCCTGTGCTATGTCGCTATGGTGAATAGGTAGGTTGTGGTGAACAGCCAGTGCCATGAGTGTACGAGATGTAGTTAGAGAAGATTGGAGTCTCAACAAAGGGGGACTCCGAGTTCCTGATCCGATAAAAGTTAAACATGCGAGTTAATTTCTTTTCAGCAGACTCGAGGAAGCCGGACCCAGATGGTGGCGACATTCTCTGTGATTCTGATATCTCTTCTGTCACAGGAGTAGAGAAAGGAGTGTGTCTAATTCTCGGAGGAGTCACGTCCTGGAACGTTAACTTCTTTTGGAAGGGACGATGTTGACTGGGACTCCCAATTGGGTGAGAAGGAGGACTCTCGCGAGTTGGTGGAGGTTCAGGTTCCTGAACAGGATTGATAGGGGCTGATGCCGAAGTTTCATGACTGTCGACAATCTGGGTGCGAGCAAGGGGTTGAGATGTCTTCCTAGGGTCTGATCGAGTGGTGTCTACCCCTTCTCCCTGAGAGGTCTGAATGAGTGATTTACTAAATAGCTTGTTCTGCGCATTTAGTGTCCTTGGGTGAAAGTTTTTAGATATTACCGGTTTTCCATTCACTTGAAGCATAATTACTGATGTAGACGTACTCTTGAGATTTTTAGCATATAGGGGATGATAATTCGCTGGGTAAAGGTAGTAGCCGGGGATGCCTCGGAGCTTTGCCTTGTTGATGCCAATCTTCTCAACTGTCTGAAGCTTCGACTTGTCATTTACAAAGAAAACGGGCTCTCCAAACGGCAGTATTCTCAGGTCTCTCATTTCCTTGTTATGTGCTTTCCCGACAAATTTCCTGGGTGACAGTTTAGTGTTGTACTTACGCAGTATACTTGCGCTAGAAGTTTGGTTTATCACACAGGCACTATGGTGAATAGCATCAATGAGGAACTGCTCTGGTGTGATCAGACTATTGCCTATGAAATGTCCCCTTAAACTGTGAATGCTTACAA